GGGGGGCGGGGGGCAGCAGGGGGAGAGACAGAGCCTTGCTAGCCCATGCGGCCAGCCCACAGACTTGCCAAGCAGGCGGGGGGTCAGAGAACAGCCCCAAGCCGCCAGTGCTGGGCACACATTCCATGCAGCGAACAATCAAACCTGGGTCATTTGGGGTTCTGGGCATGGCTGAGCCAGGGTCCGGGATGTCGGTGGGGGCCCCTGAGCTGGCTTAGCGGCTCCTGTCCCTTCTGGGGCAGGACTGTGGCCCCGCGGTGAAGTCTTGCTGCTGCTTTGGGGGTCAGAGAACAGCCCCAAGCCGCCAGTGCTGGGCACACATTCCATGCAGCGAACAATCAAACCTGGGTCATTTGGGGTTCTGGGCATGGCTGAGCCAGGGTCCGGGATGTCGGTGGGGGCCCCTGAGCTGGCTTAGCGGCTCCTGTCCCTTCTGGGGCAGGACTGTGGCCCCGCGGTGAAGTCTTGCTGCTGCTTTGGAGCCATGAGCAGGCGTCTGTCTGCCCAGGCTGGGAGGGTTGCTTCCAGCTGCACCGCAGACACCCCCAGCGTGGGCTACACAGACTGGGACGCAGACCCAGCTCCCTGCCACGGGCCCTGGAGGGCGACCCTGGTGCAGTGATCGCTGAGCGGCAGAGAGGAAGGCAGATTTACTGAACTCTGATTTCTCCTCATTTTCCAACCTCCCTCCCATGGCATCAGAGAAACTATCCTTCACTTTCCGTCTGTGCATTATGACTCGAGCAAAACGGTCACCACGTTCCACACCAGAAGTGGCTGCATTTGGGTGGTGGATGAAAGCTCTCATCATGCACAGCCTGAGATCCATAGGGATGACAGGTACCTTGGGCATCTGGTCACTACTGACCCCGTGTAAACACCCTGCCGCGTACTTTCCTTCTGGGAACAGCCTGACCTGCCCCCTTCCTCAGCAGGGAGAAGACCAGGTCCCAGGGGAAGCCGAAAGCAAACTCTCCAGACAGAGCGAGGGGTTTGTTCTCCAGGGTTTCTGGCAATACGAACGGTCATTTCACTTAATAAAACCCCCTTCCAGGGAGAAACGACTCTTCGTAGCAGCATAAGCGTTCGTGGGCAAAGACCCACTTTGACAGATGCAAATGACGAAAGCTTATGCTCCGACACTTCGGTTAGTCTGTAAGGTGCCACAGGACTCCTGGCCGCTTTTGCAGATTCAGACTGACACGGCTCCCCCTCTGATACTCTTCATAGCAGTTTGGCTGCGGAGCACAAAAAACCAGAAGCAAAATGTGAATGGGCCTGCACTGCGATGCTCTGGTTTTGGGGCTGTTCATAAGGCTTTCACTTGTTCGCAGGCGTTTTAATAAGTTGATCAACTGTCATGCAGCCCACTAGGCTGTGCATAGCCACCCACAACCCCTTCTAGGATGTGCTTACCCCCATGTATCGCATACTCATCACAACTGTCACGTGTTCCTAGCAACTTGTGTGCCTCAGTTTCCCCTTCCATAAACATGGGGAGAAGGGTATTGATCTCCTTTGGCGAGCTCTTGGGGACCCACGGAGGAAAGGCGCTCCACACCAGCCAGGAACTAGCCCTTATTAGGCTGTGGCCCTGCCAGGAAGCAGGACCATGCGCAGTGTGAGACGCTTAACACGATTCCCCAGTTACTTATCCTGGGGCAGAGTGGACACGGTCCCTAGCCCCTTTGCCCTCCCACAGGCGACTGTGCCAGGGATGGCAGCCAATCGAGGCCGGGGGAGGCGGGGGAGAGGCCGGCCCTGCGCAGGGAGCATGTCGATGATGGAGAGACCGTGGGGCTCTAGCTTGCAGCGCTGCACTGGGCTTTGTACAATGGGGCCCTTCTGCTGAGCGTGCCCCGGGCCGTTCATGTGAGCCACAGAGCCTGGCTGGGTTGCCGGCAGCAGGGAGCGAACCAGGGACCCCTCGAAGAGCCAGGGCTGGGCCGGCCTGCACTAGGGGAGGCCTCTCGGCTAGACGCAGCAGTGGCCACGAAGCGACTCAGCTCTGGGGGGACCAGCGCCAGCTGCTCTGGGGGGCGGCTGCGGGGTTCCATGGCAGTTGCAGGCGGCCAGGCCATCGGTTGGGGGGTTGGAACGAGCCAGTCCTGCCCCGTCTCCGCTCTGGAGGTCCCATGGTAGCAGATCCGGGAGGAGGCCCCGCCGGGCTTTCACGGCCACCTGGTGAGCAGAAGCAGGTGCAGGGGGACGGGGCGGAGGGACGCAGTCCGGAGAAATCTCCCCTCAGATGAGGTCCTGGTGCCCCCTTACAGGGCCCCCTGCTGCTCCCCCCATGCCTCCACCTCCCTCCCCGTGCTGAGATTTGGGCTGCTCCCCCACACGCCTGCCTCAGTTTCCCTGCTCTGCCGCCTTTTCTCCCCCCCTCTCAGCCCTCCGCAAAGCACCTCCCGTCGCTGGGCCCCGTCCCTGCCTGCAGCCCCCTCCGGGCCACTGGCACCAGCAGAGAATTTCCCGTCTCACCCCCTTGAGGCTGGGGGGACGTCCCAGCGGGGTGGGTGGGAACGAACAAATCAAAAGCAACAGGGCACGAAAGCCACCACCACAGAGACAGCTGGGCTCCGGGGAAGGAGGGAGGCCTGGGCTGGGTCTTAGGACCAAGCGTCTCCCGAGGCGGGTGGGAAGCGCTGGGCCAGGTTCCCTGGGGAGGGGGGAGTCTCCATCCCTAGAGGTGATTAAGTCTCGGCTTGACACAGCCCTGGCTGGGATGATGGCGTTGGGCTGGTCCTGCTGTGGCCGGGGGCTGGACTCGGTGCCTCCTGAGGTCTCTGCCGCCCTGGGTCCTGGGATTTCACGGAGGCAGGAACGACCCTTATCCCTGCCGCGCTTCGGGGGATGGGAGGAGACACCGTGGCGGGAGGGCGGGGGGGGGGTTATTGCTCCGTCCCTTGCTGGGGCTCTGAAGGGCCAGGCCTGGCCTCAGGCAGAGGAAGTAACCAGAGACCAGCCCCGGGGGCCATTCTCATCTCACCCTCCCATTGGCGATCGCCTCCACGTAGCCAACACCAGCCACGTCGCAGCTGTGGCGAAGGCGGCCATCGAGGTGCCTCAAGCGTGGAGGACCAGAGACAGCCTGGGGCAGGAGGACGCGAGGCTTCAGGAGTCAGGACGGGGCGGAGGGACTCAGGGGGGAGCTCGCAGCCTGCGGCATCCTCCTCTTGCTCCCCGGGGCAGCCGGGCGCCGGAGGTCGGCCCATGCTGAGCCTTTTGCCCTCGCTCCGGGAGTCGGGGAGAGGAAGACAACCCGGTACACACGGCTGCAGCTCCCCACCCTCCTGAAAGGGCACCGGAAAGGGGGGGCTGGGGTAGCCCTGGACAGGGGGAGGTGCAGGCACCCCCCCAACCCCTTTCACCTGCTTGATTACCTGCTACCTAGCAAGGCAGCCTGCAGGAGAGAGCCGGAGCCCAGCTAGGCCGGGAGCTGCAGCCGAGCGCCCAGCCAGCCCACCGACTTCTTCTTGCTGGTCCGGGGCGCCCCGGCTCCCTGTCAGCCCTGGTTTCAACAAAGGCACCGAGGCTGCGGGGAGCCCTGACTCGTATCAACAGACGAGCGGAGCAAGACCCAGGACTGTCCTCTGGAAGAGAGGGGCCTCCGAGTGCGGCCTCAGGCCCTGCCACCGCCCCCGCTCTCCTGGGGCCTGGTTTACGAAGGGAACGTTCAGACCTCTCCAGAACCCCGGCCAGGCACCCAGCTTCCCTCGCAGCTGGCTCAGGCCTTCGACCCAGGGTTCAACGTGCGAGCTGTGACGGCGCGTTGGGGTCCCCCGTCTCCTGCACCCCAAAATGGCACAAACAGACTCCACCAGCCAGTAGAATTGAGGGTGGTTTATTGCTCCTCCAGGATACAGCACAGCACAGATGTCATCTGGTTACAGGAACTGGGGCTAAGAGGCCTCAGTGCCCCCTTTGAGATGGGGGGATCCCAGCCCCCTCCCCAGTTCCTTCTCCCCTGATTTCCAGCCAGGAACTGACTCTCTTCTTCTAGCCCTGCCCCCAGCCAGGGCCGCATTCCCCCTTCCTTTGTTCCTCTCCATGGGGGGTGACTGGTCAGACAGGTTGAGACCTTCTTTGCATAATGACTCATGGCCTGTCCTTCTGGGCCGCGGTACCAACTGCAGCCAGTGGGGGTTACCCCAGAGCCAGCAGCGTAGAAACCAGCCAGGTACCCCCACTACATCACAGCCTCGCAGACCCTCCTTGCAGGGACCTCTCGCGGCTCAGGTTCGTCGCAGACTTGCCACTGGCCTCGATTCCCGTGCCGGCAAGTGCTGAGTCGTATGCACCTGTCGAGGCGGGCAGGCCTCACCTGGCACAGGTGGTACAGAACCTCACCCGTCTTAAAGGGCCAGCTCCCGCGGCGAGTGCTGCATTGCTGGGGCTTGTTGCGAGCAGGTTCATAATCTACTATAGATTTTAGAGAGGTGGGGGAGGGAGGGGGGTGTCCGTCTGTTCAAGAACTCCTCCTGCACGGTAAGAGTGAGGATCACCACATTCGGCAGGCAGCTTCCTCTTCTCCTAACTTAAAGCAAGGTGAGGGTTTGGTTGGGCCAGGCCATTGGGTTGTGTGTGGAATGGGACTGTTTCACATCAAACAGAAAGGGAGGGGGTGTCAGAGCAGGGACAGTTATACTCATGCATGGCCACAAGGGGGCAGCAAGTGCAGGGGACATTTATACTCATGAATGAAGACAAGGAGCAGCAAGCATCCCAGGGCCAGAGCAGCCACCACCTGGCAGCATGGCTCCTGCCACCGCAGCCCCCCCCCGGGAGCCGCCACTGTGCTTTGCAGCCCCTGCTGCCCCAGGTGGCCTGTGCAGACCCCCCACGCCCGGACCCAGGTAACACCAGGGAAGTCTTCTCCTAATAAATACTAATACCTGCAGTCGTAACAGGCTCAATCCACCCCCTGACTTGGACGGGCTCGCGCGGGCATCAGGGAGCAGAATTTGCCCAGCCTGTTGTGTTCCGATGTCATGAAGCCACACGCCGTCGCTGGCCATTTTCTCCCAGGCTGAGGTCTGCGGCCGGCTCTCGATAACTCTAAACGACAGTTATCACAGAGACCTTCCTGTTGGTCTGTAAACGTGGTTTCCGTTTTGATCAGGCCTCATTAAGTGGGACAGAGCCCTTTCTCAGTGCGACCTCGCGCACAGGAAGGCTGACAGGTTCTAAAGGGCCCCTGGTGCTGGGCACTTCTGAGCTTTGGATGCTCAGCTTGGGGATTTTTAGCTCCTCTGGAATTGGGCCCAAAGCACCATCCAACATTTAGAGCTGTTTGAAAAAATGGGGTCCTGATTTTAGCAGTTAAGGGTGCACCATGGAGACGCTGGCCTCGTGCAAAGGTTATAAGTGAAACTTCCCAATGCTCCTGCAAGATGCGAGCGAATGCTGAATGCCATTTCACAGAGAGGGAAACTGAGGCCCAGAGCAGCTAAAAAAGTTGCTTGGAGTCACATAGTGAGTCAAGTGGTGGTGTGAGGAATAGAACTCACCACAAAATGTTGCTGAGGCCGGAGCTTAGCAGGGGTTGGAAATGGACTGGATCATGATTATGGATAATACATTTTTCCAATATTTGGGAACCTGTGCTGCATACAACGACTCCCATAGTTATATTGTAATAGTAAAGATTAAACACAAACCAACTGGACCTTTGGAAGAGCTAAAAACCCTCATGCTCCAGGGCATAAACAACTCCCTAACTATCAGTGGTCAGGAGGAAATTTCGCCAGGGACAAATTACACCAAAATTGCTTCCTGCTGGGTTTCTTGCGCCTTCCTCGGACACAGCATGGCCTGTCAGTATCAGCATGCGCAGTTAACAAGACCCCTGGTCTGATCCTGGCAAGTCCTATCTTCTGAACCTAGGTCTCCTGCCACCCGGTTCTTCTTGCAAACCCATTTAACCCTTGTACCCTCACTTTTCATGCAAGGGACTTACCAATGCAAGCTGAATCTTGCTGAGCCTGACACAAATTTAGCCTAGGGCTTGTACCCAAGTTGCAAACCTCTCTGACTGTTTCCTGCTGTGGTTTCCTGCAGTAGTAAAACACCTCCTCTGCTCAGCCTGTTTTCCCTCTTGTTCTCATCTGATGGGCCTTTCTGGACTGGAGGCAGATAAAAAACACAAACAGGTCAAAAAGCAACCCGTGGCTGTAAATCCAGCTCTTGTGCCGGCACCTCCTTGCCTTGCTCTGCAGCCAAACAGGGGAGCTATGGCAGGAGGGTGTCTCTCGCACCCCCTTCCATCCCACCCCACCTCCACCAGGGTATATCATCTGGAAGGCCCACGTTTATTACGACGGTGGGTTCTTTGCATTCCAGTCACAGGCGGGTGTCCCCGTCGCAGCCCAGTAGTCCAGCTGCACTGGGCGCTGTGCAAACAGGATAAAAAGACAATCCCTGCCAAGCCTTCACAATAAACAGGCCCACAAACTCCCAGGGGGCGGCCAGCCCCACTTAATGTCATATGATCCGGTAAGGCCTGGTCCTTTCCGAGCTGGCCTTTAGCATGCAATAGGTCTGTCTCTCTCAGCCACGCGGGCTAGCCATTGGGACAACTGAAAATCTTGTGGGCCTGTCTGCCTGATAGGCTGCTGGCTCAGTCGGGCAGGGGCTGTCTTTTTGTTCTGGGTTTGTACAGCGCCTAGCACCGAGGGGTCCTGGTCTCTCAAGGGGGCTTTGTCCTGGGCATTATGATACTGCAACTGCTGTTATTAATCAGTAAGGTCTCAGCCACGCGGGCTAGCCATTGGGACAACTGAAAATCTTGTGGGCCTGTCTGCCTGATAGGCTGCTGGCTCAGTCGGGCAGGGGCTGTCTTTTTGTTCTGGGTTTGTACAGCGCCTAGCACCGAGGGGTCCTGGTCTCTCAAGGGGGCTTTGTCCTGGGCATTATGATACTGCAACTGCTGTTATTAATCAGTAAGGAATCCCCCCTCAAAGGTCAGGTCCCCGGGAGCCAGCCTGCCCCTGGTGTTTCCATTCATTGCTGGAAACTGGCCTTGCTCTCTGGGTGGGAGTTAGATCCCTCGATACCAAAACCAATAGTGTGACTGCCCGCTCCTTGGTGGGGGGGGCTCCGCCCCGCCCCC